TCTTTCTCTTCTGTTCTTCCACACCGCAGCTGCCTTCTCTGGTTCCTTAAGAACGAAGGCAGAGAGGCTTAAGCGGTGGGATTTGTTATTTTGTACGTTTTGTAGTTTAGTCCTTGTTTTTATTATATTCACGATTAGGTCCTCAGGGTTTACATATAGGTCCTCAGATTCTTTGTTTTTTTTTTTGAACAGATCTCCCAAATCTTAAAAATAAGTTACCTCTGATTCATACTCTATTTCTTTTGTCAATTTAAAATAGATGCTTACATTATCACCAGAAATTTATACGAAAATTCGGAAATAAGGGGTATTACAGGTCAAGGGCATCAGCACTGTCGACACAAAGCTATCGAGGAAGCCGACACCGAGGGTAGTGCTATGGTCATTGCTAGGAGGAAGAGTTGTTGCCCTGTTTCTATCACTGCATGGGGTGAGAGCATCGAGGGCTGGAAGGCGACTGTGTCGGTGTGGTTGTAATTGCTATGACCCAAGGGAGCAATCGCTGAGTAGTCGGGTTGAGGGTGCAGTGATGGCAACCTACGGCTGCAGTAGAAGATGCTGAGCAAGGGGGAGGCGACATTGAAGCGACTAGGGTTGAGAAGAGGAATCTATGGTGCGTGCACTGCTGGGGTTGAGGCAAGGCAGCATAAGGACTTGCTGCAGTTACTGCATGCACTGCTGGAGGGCAGTTGCAGTGGAATGAGGAGGGTTGGTCACTTGTCGGGAGCAGCGGCGGGGGGGAGGTGGCGTTGAAGCGACTGGGGTTGAGAAGAGGAATCAGTGGTGCATGCACTATTGGGGTTGAGGTAGGGCAAAACAAGGACTTGCTGCTTGCGTTGCTGGAGGGCAGTTGCAGCAGAACAAGAGGGGTTGGTCGTTGGCTAGGAGCAGCGGCGGCGGTGGTTGCTGGCCGAGAAACTACGGTGATCAACGGCTACGGCAGAAGATGCAAGGTTGCCCTATTTTGGTCACCGCGAGGAGGGAAGGTTGAGCGACTATGACTACGAACCAAGGGGAGGCAGGTGGCAGTGAAGAAGGAGGCAGCGAGGGTTGTGGTTGGGAGGCGAGCGGCGGCTGTCGTTGGCCAGGGAGTTACGGTGGTGGAGAGGGGAAACAGGGGTGCTTTGTTTCTATCGCACCATAAAAGGAGTCGTTGGCGATGTCGAAGGATCATGAGCGGTTAAGGAGAAGGCTGGCAGTGGTGGTGGCTCGAGTGGGAGGCGACGGGCAATAGTGGACTCTGATCGGGAAGCGGGGCTACAACGGGATGGGACACTGACAGCATCATCTCCTAGTAGCGGTGGTGGCTAGGGTGGGAGGCAACGGGTGACGGTGGACTATGGTCGGGAAGCGGGGCTGCAGCGAAACAAGATGCTGGCAGCGTCGTCTCCGATAAAGGCTCGGAAGGATGACTACAGTGGAAGGTGGGATGAGGCGGGGGGGGGGCGGGGTGTGGGGTGGGGTGCGGAGGGTGCTAGTTGGGAAACAATGGTGGTGGTGGTCATTGGCGGGAAAGCGATGGTAGCGGTGGGGCTGGTCGGAAGCAAGGGAAGCAGGGGCCCTTTTGACTAGCGGTGGTGGTGGTGGAGAGGGGAAGCAAGGGTTCTCGGTCGTGCATGGCTGCGGCTTTTTCTTTTTTTTTAGATGATGATAACTGTAGCGATGACGTTGAGGATCATAACTCTGACACCAATTGATAAAACCCTAGGGTTTTATCATAGAAGAAAGAAGGAAAAAGGAATAATCACTTTGAAGGGATTGGCCTCCTTGATCACTTCGAGGGGATCGACCTCCTAGGGTTAGTCTAAAGACTAACTAATATTTTACTCTCTATGGAAAAGAAACAGTTACATCGCTATTTATAGAGTTCCACCTAGAATCCATCAGGACTTGGACTCTTAATAATAAATAAATATTAAATAAACCTCTACCCAACTCTAACTGAACTAAACAGACTCAATAAATATTATTCAAAAATAAAGAAAATAAAATGATCCTAACACATTCAATCTAACCTTAGTCCCTTTTAATTTTTGTACTAAAATAAATAAAAGGGTAGGAGTTCAACGATTGCTATTAAGAATAGGAGCATACTAAGCATCTTCAACAATCTTATAAAAATCAGGATAAATAGACAAGAATTTGAAGCTCCTATTACCCTTAGGGGTGTTGCAAACCCACACAATAGTCATTGAATGGTCAGAAATATCAGGTGGCAAGAATGATGCTTTAGAATCGACAAAGAGTAAGTATTAATCTGGATTGGCCATAACTCCATCCAGCTTGCTCAAAATGCATCGGACCCTAGAGGAGGAGTTGGAGCAAGTAAGATGATGCCCCTTCCATTTAAAATTAGATAAGGAGAGCTCATATAAAGAATCAAAATTTTGAGTCATACTTGAAGGTCTTAAAGATTGGTCCCAATCTTTTCATGGGGTGTAAAAGACTATATTAAAGTCGCTAAGAATAATACATCCAAGACCTAGGGAAAGACTATGAGAGCTCAACAAGATCTAACCATAATCGATGTCTATCTGCGTCAGTATATAGGTCATACATGACTAAACAATTTAAAGATTTGACCAAATGCTTGAAATACAACATTTCATATATATAACTTGATCAATCATAGAGTGAACCACCAGATCAACAATAGTAGAGTTCAATAAACACCAAATGCAGGGCATAAGTGCTAGTGCCTGATTTGGTATAGATTTGCTTATCTTTAAAAATGCGAGAGGTTATAGAATAAACATTAAAATCCTGAACCTAAGACTCCAAAATAAAAAGACAATCTAAGTAGTAAGAGTGTAAAGAAATCTTACGATAACATGTTTAAAAGGGACATTGAGACCCTGAACATTCCATATATCGATATTAATTATAAAGAAAGAGAGAAAAAATCTAACCCAATAATATCTACAAGTCTCTTAGAGGCTCGGTATCTTTCAACACTTAGATATAAGTTAGCCAAAATAGAATTGTCAAGTTCATTTTCCTCTACATCATTGGCATCGTCATCCTTATCCTCATTAAGAACATCAAACTTAATAGATTGAGGTTCCAATATAGATTTCTCATAAAGAGGTACAGGCCTTTTAGGTAAATCATGCTACATTATTTGTATAAGATTTCATGATTTTGAGCAAAGGCTTCTTAATCATTGTAAACTGCACATGAGATTTGCAAGGAATAAAGTTTGAGTCATACGAAAATAAGAAGCCACATTAGACTTAGAAGGAGTAATATCCTTAATCTTTGAGGGTACAATTTCCTTAGTCTTCTTAGGATTCCATTTGGTAGTTGATACATGTTTAAAGCAATTTCTTATTGCGTGATCGAAAATAGGATAGTATGAGCATCTCACTGGCTTTCAATCATATTTCAACCTAGTGACATAGTCTTTAGCATCATTGAGAGCAATATGAAGAAACATCAGGGAGTTCAGTGGAAGCAAATACCTCAATGCAAACTCATTACATTCTTTTCTACTAATCAAATGGTCCATAAATAGAGGTTTCCCAATACCAATGGCAATAGAGGTGATAAACTTTGGTGTCCACGTAAATAAAGATAAATTATAGATAAGAACAACAAAGAAGTCAATTTTTTTTTTAACTAGAAGTCATATTTCCTAAGGATGAAATATGAGGAGCTTGTTCTGAATAAACTATGGCTCATATTACAATACTCCAGTTAAATCACCACTTACGCTAAATCAAAAGATAAAAAAACTCCACATCCAAAGATAATATATTAATGGATCTTGTAGGTTTCAACATAATAGAGACTCTATTCTTACTAATAAAGAATAATAGGGGAGAGCTCACAAAGTAGCCAATGAAAGAGTTTTTCAAGTGCTCCTCACCCTATGAAATATCCTCCATAGTGGCTGATATTCTAAGAGTACCATCACTAGAGAAGAAGGATGATTCATGGTATAAAAAGCACCTCTCGGATTTTGAAGCCAAAGAGAAGAGAGAGCTCCTTGTGGCAGCAAGGGGGAAAAGAGTCAGTGACAACTCTTGATACATCAAGAAACCTAGAATGTGAGTGCTATCCACGAGTCTTTGACTAGATAGAAGAAACATTGACATGGAAACAACAACAGTAGGGAAGAAGAAGACACCAACATCAAATTTTGAAAGCTACCGGAGTGCAGGCTACCCGAGACCACTAGCATGCAAGCTGACCATCGAAGTCAGCCTAAGATGGGATTCCGACGACGACGAGAGAAGGCAAAGTAGTCGGTGGGGCAGGAAGGCCCACCCCAACTATGTCCGTGGCAACATGCACAATCGAGGAAGAAGTAGCCACCACGCCTCTCGCTGTTGGTAGAGGATGCATCAACCCAATAGCACTAATGGCAACAACATCAACAAGCACAAAAGAAGCGATTGAATTGACGACACCTCCTGAAGAAATATCTATAGAGGAAATCCTAATCGATGAAAGAATCCGCATGACCAAGGCAAAAGTGACGAATCAATTTGATATCGGTGCAAGTGGAGGAAGAAGAATCGACATAGAGTTGTTCGTCAACGTCACCACATGTCGTGCAAACCCATCCTCAGTGATGGTCACATATCGTCATGAAGCCCCATCGATTGCTGAAGGATCAATAAAGGAAATATAGGAGTCCAGCAAAACAGGGGAGGCGAGCAAAAGACCGACCTTTAGAGCAGAACGTAATTGGATCGACAAAGAAAAAGATGCTATAACAAAAGACACCAACAGACAAGAGGAAAACACAACAAGATCGATGGTGGAACAAAAGAGACCGACAAACCAAAAGATGCAAGCACCGAAGTGATTGGCTGAGAAATCACCATACGACCAACCTTAGAGGTAGACGGCCGACCGCGAGGACATTTTGGTACACCACCGACAACGACAGATGATGGATTTGAGATATTCCCACTCTATTTCTGTCACTGATCCTAATTGTTCTCTTCAAATGTTGGATTTGAGATATAATAAATGAATATAACACAAAAAAAAATGCCAATATAAAAGATATCATGAGAGCTAAAAGCTTACCTGATAAAAGTATAAGCACATTGGATCTTCCAAAAGATGTTAAATTGTAGGTCAAATAAACTAAAAAGGTTCGCTACCAACAACAGCATCGAGGAGAAAGACCTGAAACCTTCAAACACACCAAGAAACCACAAAAGAAAAATACAAGGCAATGTCCATCACAAGCAGGCTTTGTGATTAGTTTTACTGTCCTCCAGATTCACGCACCAAGGGTTCTTTGATCTCGTCTCCAGCATCCTCCTGTCGACCAAAACATTTGTAAGGGTGTTTGAACAATCACAAGATCAATTGCAAATCAAGAAACTCAGTAAGGAGAAGAACTGACAGTGATATCGGAGGTCCACAAGGTCAAGTTGTCACGAAGCAGCTGCATGATCAATGTGCTATCCTTGTAAGATTCCTCACTCAGAGTGTCCAACTCCGAGATAGCCTCATCGAAAGCCTGTGAAAGACAAACAACAATTTAAATCTCACTGCAGAAACTGGTAAGTAAGACTTGATTAAATCATGAAACAGAAATAAACATTAAAAATGTTAATATTGCAAAAATAGTAATGACATGATATATGTCTATAATCTGAGAGACGTAAGAAAACACTAGGGAGAGGTTCAACCAATTTTGACCACAAGGATTTTAGATATCAGGTAAAAAGAATTCAAGATTATTAATCTGTTTGAACTTTTTTCATAGGCACTGCAGAATCAGAAGACCAGTGGTAAAATCATGGTATATATGGATGAAATGGATTGGTTTGGACAAATTTTATCAGGCATTGCATGAGTAAAAGTTCATTTCCTTCTAAGCTTCAGCAGTAACACTCTTAGAAGACGGGATAATATATACTCTTCCCAGTCAAGCATCAAAACCTCTTCATTAGTTTTAATTTTTCACATCTCATGTACCACAAGCCAACTTAGCAAGTAAAAAGCATCATAGATCTACAAAGCTTCTTGGTTATGTTCATACTCATCTAGTATAGTATTAATCATCACAGCAGAGCATGCAGGACATCTTCGAAGGGACAAAGACTAACAAGTTTGCATGATTAGATTTTTCCCACACATTTAAACATAGATACACAACCATACACATGAGACATCCATATGAACCACCACAGTAATACCCGGGCATGAGAACATAGTCATGGACAAGATAGAAGTGTTTCCCTAAAATTTGTAGATATGTATAAATATTGATTGAATTAGGGGGGGTAAATGGTTGGAACATGGAAGAATTTTAAGTAATCTAAGGCAGCTAATGGGCCTCAGATCAAATGACAGACGTGCTAAAATTTTATGAAGATACAAATTGCAAGTACTTTATTGATCCTAATTCAACAAATACAGCTGAGCAAGGTCGTCTAGGACTTAAAGCCAATCAATATAAGGATGAAATCAAAATCTTAGAAGATGGCAAATGATATTGTTCAAACTGCAGGAAAGTCAACATGACAAACAAACAGGTCTATCAACAATCAAATCTTACAAATTATCAATAAATCAGTGTTTTATGATGTGTTGCAATGACAGACAGTAAAGAAATCTCTTTTGATGCTATCATATATGCGGCTAGTTAACTGAGAAAAAAACCTAACAAGTGACCAAAAGACAGTAATTAGACACAGTTATTGGTGGAATGTCCAAAAGTGAAAAGGAAGAAAATAAAGTTCTTTGGAAGAATGCAAAAAACAACAGAAAAATGTATATCAACCAACACAAAGAACACCGTTGACAATTTGTTGATTTCGAAGACCAGCATAAATTCTTACCTAACTAGGAAAGATCCTTTAGAACCTTAAACAATAATAGGAAAAAAACAACTAATCATTCTCGCCAGCTAAAACCTTGCAAATGTGTAATCAGTGTCCGTCTTATTTGACTCTCTTAAACTGATTAATAAAAGTATAATGAAAAAGTCACGAGAATATTTTAAAATTAAATCCTACGTGTACACCAATTATATTGTATATATAATGGTAATCTAATTTTAATCTACAAAATTAGAAAATCGAGCTAAAATTAGGCCTGCCTAAAGTCCTGAACCCTTTTAAGCTGTACCATATTGCATGATTATTTTCCTACACCTCAGGTTGATAATTACTCCGATTTTCTTATTTGCACAGTTGGAGTCTAGTTGGATATATTGGAACCATCTTATACCACCTTATCCTCAACTGAGAATCAGCTTTAACTTAGGACTTGTATTATTTCTTCACCATTTTCGTTGTAACAGAACCATTCATCTCAATCATCATACATAACCTATAATAGTATTTTTGGGTTTGTTGTTCCTCAATTGGACTATAAAGAAGGAACTTTCTTTTGAAGAGGAGCTACAATTTTATAGCAAAAAGTGTACGTCTCTAATTTTTAACAATTCTACCCTTGTGAGTAATACCTTTTTGTTTGATAACCAATCATTATTATTGATTGTATACAGTTCATCAGAGTTGGTAAAATTCGGTATCATGGTATTGCTTTGTAACCAAAGTGACCAAGATTTGTTACTAAAACAACCTTTTGGTGTTTGAAGAAGTAAGATCACGTACATTGACACTCCCCAAACTGTAAATCGGTGGGAGCCTTGTGCACAAGGCTGACCTCTATATTTGCACCATTAAACAATTTAAGCATAGAATTCCAACATGAAATCAAAATTTTGCATCCAGTATCATGATACCATTGATTTTCTACAACTTATTTCCAGTCCTATCCCAAGCAAAATGGAGCAGAAATACAAGGAAACTGGAGAATGAAGACCAAGTATGTTTAATTGGGCATCTCCAAACATACATTCACATGTACATATATGAATATGCATATTTATTGACCACCTAGAGACACCATAATCTTCAAAAACAAGAAATACTATGCAAGTCTCCTGACAAGATCAATCAGCCTTACATGAAAGTAAATTCTTCTGATAGCAACATGAATTAAATGATACTCTGAATGATGACCACTTTGCAGAGATTTTGAATTATATAATAACAGCTAGAAAGTTTTACCTATATATAAAATGAAATGTAGCATTTAGAATTTAGTTTGTGAAGAAATTTACTAGAAGGTAAACAAAGTTCATAGAAAAAATATTGGATCAATTATAAATTATCACTAATCAGATGCATAAGCATGTAATAAGTGCCTGTAGCTAAGACTTCTATAAATGGAAATAAGATCAAATTACAAGAAGAAATAAAAAACAAATGAGTACAAATGCATTTAGAACAAAGAGAAAATTTGTAAATTATTATCAGTAAACTCTAGCAGTAACAGAGTGATCTAGTGACAAGTCAATCACATGCAGGCAAATGCCCTCACACCAATATTAAACACATACAAAATGCGCTAGCATGCAAAAGGACGAGCACCATGCACAGACCCAGTTTCCGTGTATGCACAAACAGAATATAAATACAAACCATTTTAAGACATGAACCAACTTTTCATGAAATTTACCAATTATTTCTCATAGAATGGAAAAAGAAATTATTACTCATATCAATTAAAATAAGCTCCATTAAAATAAGAGGTGTGAATCATAAATTCATAAAAATAATCCAAACAGAAATTTTACTGCAATGCAGCAATAGATACACATTCTTTGTGTCAAATATGAAATTGTCAGATCCAGCTAGGCCAAGGATAAAACTTTAGAAAGTTACTACAAGCTTGATGTTAGACCTGGTTGCACTAAGGTATCAGCTATTCCAAGTTAGCTGAGGCCTAACTTCAAAATTTGATGCTTGCTTCAGGCTATGCTCCATGCCAGCTTGACTCATTAAATCGACTCCCCTACTATTAGGATTAAGTTCAATAAATGCTTCAGATGCAGAAAAATATAAAATTGTCACTACTCCACAACATATGCTAAAAATATGAAGTCACGCACAACACTGTTAAAACTAAAATTTTACAAGAAATAGAATAAAATTGCAGTCAAACCTGTTTTGCAAGACTGCAAGCACGATCAGGCGAGTTCACAATTTCATAATAGAACACTGAGAAATTAAGAGCCAACCCCAGCCTAATAGGATGAGTTGGGGCCAGTTCGGCCAGGGCAATGTCCTACAAATTGTTTAAAAAGATGATTTAGTGAACATTGCTCAGGTCTGACAAAAAACATCAATAACAGAACAGATTTAATTAGATGAATCCGAACAATTGTATGCCAGCATTTGTAAGAAGAATCATTCAGTAGAAACAGCACCACAATGGTAGTTGAAAATGAATCAAGTGGACACATGTTCTAGAGTACTGAAAAGATTCTGATCGATCCAGCAAAAACAAAAACACTAGCTAATTTGCATTTCACTATAAATGATGATCAGACCTGAGCAGACTTATAGGCTGACAGTGTACTCTCAGCAGCCTCCTTTCTCTCAGCCCCCGTCTTAAATTCCGCAAGGTACCTATTTGCCAAGATCATCAAACATTTAAGACAAATAAACGTCACCGCACATTGGAAGCTTATTTTCTAGTACCTGTGGTAATCCCCCTTCATCTTCAAGTAAAACACCTTGGACTCGGCCGTGGTGGAAGAGGATATCAGATGGGAATCAAGCAACTTCAGAATGCCATCACAGATCTTGCTAAGCTCAGCCTCGATCTTTCCACGATACTCCTTGATCAGGGAAACATGATCCTCATTCCCACGGCTCTCTTCCTTCTGCTCAATAGAGGAGATGATACGCCAAGAGGCCCGGCGGGCTCCAATAACATTCTTGTAAGCCACAGAGAGGAGGTTGCGCTCCTCCACGGTGAGCTCCTCAACATCCACCGTCTTTGCTACCTTCTCCATGAACTCCACCATCTCCTCATAGCGCTCCGCCTGTTCGGCCAGCTTGGCCATGTACACATTGTCCTCACGGGATGATTCGGCCGGAGACATCTTCCCGTTTTCTAAATCTTAAGCACCAATTTCTTATAAAATCTGTAAGTAAGCGGACCCAAAACAAAACATTATCTTTCATTTTTTTTCTCTCCGCAACGAATTCAAAGGTCTAAAAAAAAAAAAAAAGCAGCTTTCCCCTTTTTGGTATAATTTTTTTGATTGGAAAAAATTGAATAATTTTACTGCAAAATAGCAACTTCACCCTCAAAGTTGATCCAAAAAATCATCAGACAAGTTCTCCCGTACAAACAAGGCCGGAAAGCATGAGAGGATAGTTTCTATCCTCTTAATAAAAACTTTCATATTACGAGGATATACGGAGAAAGATCTCGAGCAAGGATGCGGATATACCGATTCAGATTAAAACTTTCGTATTAAAATTCGAAATAAACCACTACATTTCTTCGATACGCTAACTGCGCCAACAACGAGGTCAAAAATAACGAAAAAATTGAAGAAAATGACAGAACACCATAAAGAAAAACAATCAACATACCCTACAAGATCCGATCGATTTAATGATAGAGCTTACGATAAAAGAACCGGCGAAAGAAATCGAAGCAGCAACCTTAAAAGATTACCGTCGAGATGGTGGTGGATCCGAGGGGGGAACGTGGAAAACCCTGCACGAGACTTTTTTTTTTTTTTGGTTCTTCTTCCCTCTTTCTTCCCATTGGTTCGCTTTTTCTTCCTGCGAAAACGAGCAACACATTTCCCTTCTACCCGAATTGATTACCTGCTCATTATTAGTTAAGCATTGGGTCCGACTCTTTCACCAACTTTCAAGGCTGATTGCTGAGGCAGCGAAACGATTAATGGGTATAAGACAAAATTTATAAAAATAAATTCCAATGACGTGGATACACGTGGATGACGGCATTCTTTTATGGACTTACAACTAGTGGTAACGAATAAACCAAATTCGTCGTCCTAGCAAAACCATGATGTATCGATACTTGGAAGTATCTTTAGAGAAGAGAATCATTTGGCATCAATCTATTCACATTTAGGTTCAATATATATCCACCATGTAAAAGGGACGTACTTATAACTTCTGTTCACCAATTGGCTAAAAATTGGAATTCTAATCATTGACAATGATACCCTTTAAAAACTCTACCTGAACTATTATCATTATAATTTTTTATAGTTTATATTTTTTTTTATTTCAATCCAAAATAATTATTGATAAATTAGTATTTAATCTGTGTCTCTTTCTTTGATGGATGTTGACGGGAGGAAAATGTGTTGAGGATCATAGGGGCAAATATGCTACCTCCAAAATTTGCAAGAATAGCTATATAAAAAACATAATAAAAATATATTTATAAATATAAACATTTTTTGGTATAAATTTTTTAAAATCAGGCATTTTATAAAGCCCAGTAAAAACTCAGTCATGTGCCATATCTCTATCTTAAGGAACGATTTCAAAAAATAATAAATCAGATATATTTATCCCACGAAATTTTTTATTTAGAGAACACGATATAACACTATAATTTATTCTCATATCAGAAATTGATAAAAAAAATAATATGTGTAAATTAGTGATTCAAACTTAGCAAGATGAACGACGTGCATACTCTTAAACAACAAGGGATGAATTCATGAACATAGGTTCATACTCTTTTAATTATTCTCAATATGAGTTTAAATTGATATATAATGTGAAACTAACCAGTATCTAATTTATATATCTGTCTTCCTCACATATATATGAATGTTTTCTATCAGTGCAACTGGTGCGGTGCATATCATGACTTGCAAATTATTCTCTCATCTAATTTGGGCTCTAACAAATACTGTTATTGTATTATGATAATTCAATCTAATTACCAATATTAGTTCTATTTTTTAAAAAAATTAAAGAACGCAAGATACCTGAAGAGAGATATTAATTGACTTCAATCAGTCAACTGATATATATGTAGAGAGAGAGAGAGAGAGAGAGATGGATAATCGTTGGGTATCCTGTCAATGAGAGAGAGAGAGAT